TGGTCTATATACCAAGAAGAGTGAAGATGATGGACAACTCCGAAAAGTAAATAAATCAAAATTTGCAGCAACCAAAGCACGTTTTCCAGTGACAACTTCGCCTTTTAAACTCTCTCTTATCGGCTGCCACCATCTTGACAGGGCTGCCGGGCCACTCTGAGGTTAGTCTGTTTGATAAAGAGTTAAACCTCGGTAAACATATGAGATTGAGGTCAAGTGTTAGAAATAGTTTAGCATGCTGAAACTACTTACATAGGAAAGGCAAAAGATTTTGTGCTGTTGGTGCTACTCGAGCGAATAGAGATGTTATCATGACATTGCTTCGTTGCTATGACAACAAGATTCATGTCTTCACGATCTGGAAACTTTTCAGTGTTCTGATCTGCAAACAATGACGCTAAACTTCTTGGCGTTTCATTTTCAGTGCTGGTGTTGTTTTCAGCCTTTGTATTTTGTGCTGATGCTTCTCTAGAGATTGAATCTGATATACTACTTTTGTTACAAGATACTTCTTTGGAGACAAACTTAGACGTCATCGAAACTAGTTTCAGCTCTTGATCCTATAAAAAAAAGTAAGTACATATGGGGTAGAGACACTATCAAACCCAAAAAGAGAAAAAACTGAAACAGAACAAATCAGGATTCAGGAACTTTGAAGTATAGAGAGAATACCTGATTCTCTTTTTGATCAACCAATTCTCTGTCCAAACTCGGCTGTTTTGGAACATCGTGGCTATAGGAAATGGCATCAGCAATCTCAGTATCCGATTTACCTTCCATCAACAGATTTTTAGAGTCGTCAAACTGCTTAACAATGCCCTCGTACGATTCAGAAACTCTGTTCTCTAATTCTGCACTATTGTCCAGTTCATACTTGAGCATGTAATAAATATTATGGTGGTTCAACTCACAATTTTCCAAAGAACATTGTTCTCCTTCCATACATACGTCCTTAAAAACTTGATGGTTTCTGTCTTGAAGAAAAACAACTAACTCGGGTAGTTTGCACTCCATATAATTCAGATTTTACATTGCATCTTTCTTTCTCTGCAGTGGATAAAAGAACTGTCATGTTCCAACATAGCAGCATTTAATTACATGAAAGAACTACAGTACCATACATAAAGAAAAGCTTGAATCATATTGAATAAGTTGAGTGAAGACTGAGCTCATCATATGACACCAAATTAAAATTACAGAAAAGAGCTCATTATAACGCGAAAGTCACCAACTCTTTTGTGATATTTCAAGATAACTTTAGGCATAAAGGTTCAAATTTTATTGCTTCATATGTCATCTTCTTTTCCTGAGATGGACATGATAATGACAAGCAACGTTTACTGGGAAATCACGGAACATCAGCATATGTCTACAGGAAGATCAGAAGTCTTACACTCATCCGAGAATCCATCTTATAGATCAAAAACTAAAAAGGAAAGAAGCTAAAATCTGACTTCAGAGTCACGGAACATCAGCATATGTCTACATGATGATAGATGAATGTTCGATTTGAGTATTAGCTTCGAGAAAATTGCAAATATATAAAGTAAATAAGAAAAAGTGTGGTTAATAGTCATATGAAGTTCAGTTAAGAGATTAACAGCCAACAAGAAGCAAGGAGTTGATTAAAAGGAGAATACTAATGAGTCAAAATCAGCTAAGAATATCAAGAAAAATAAAGAAGACCTCTTTTCTTCGTCTTGATTTTGTTTGAAATGGTGAATACTAGTTAACAAACAAATTCCATGTTATTGCATAGATCATAGGTGACATACCATGAGGGCTTATGCTATATCTACATCACCAGAAAGTGACATACATCTTCATGGGAAAAAAATAATTTGCACATAAATAAATTCAAACATTTCCTACCACCAAGAAGTCAAGAATGGAAGTAATAAAGATTACAAAAAGAAAAGCATGGACAAGTAGAAAAATATGATACCAATCAACAAACCAAACCAGTGAAAGTGGAGAACCAACTACTAAGGCAGAGTAGATGACCTTAATTAATCCTTATATTACAAGGTCTCAACTGTTTCTTATTTTATGCCATTTATTAAAGACACATTTTAGATTGAAAACCTCACAATGATCAAATACTCATGTAGCAGTTGCAGATGTCCGTACCAGCTTACGCACACCTCAACTAAGATTAGGAAAAATAGAAAGAAGTTAAATCACCTAACGTTCTTTTGTCTCTGCTAGGATTTGAAGGTAAGACCTCGATCATAGTTCTCAATCCACTACCCTTAGGTCACACCCTTGGTGCGTTGCATATATATACTTCTGGAGTTTCCCAGAAATTATTGTTCAACAATCGTTGATTATTCACAACTACATCTCCTAATACAATAAATATTCATGACAACAACAAATAAATACTTACACAAGGAAAATGAACATTTGAATAAATGAAGAAAAATACCTTTTTAAATCAACAACTGATCGTAACCTGCAAACAAGCCATATGCATGTACCAAAAATTCAGTTTGTTAATATCAATTTCATATATTAGGGAAAAAGAAGGGTGGATTTATAGGGAAATCCATACTCTCTTATTTGGTAGTACAATTAATGCAATTTGTTATTAAAATCAAATTAATGGTTACGTTTTAAGTTTTCTTAGTTTTTGTGTCAATAAGAAATTAATCCTTCACTTACACTTTTGGACAATTCTTTGCGTGGGGAATGCTTAAATTAATTAGCCGACGATAGCAGTTTTTGTTAGTTAGAAGTAGTGCAACCTTTTTAATCATAGAATTGACATTTCATAATTGATTCTCTAAAATATATGATATTATAGTTTGTAGGGGTCCTTAATTTGGTTCGGCGTACTAGGGACAAGATAATTAGGTCATTTTATTAGTAAAATAATTGCTATAACTTTACATAGAGTATCTTGATTTCGACATTTGAATTGAACAAATATAAGAAAGGTCGGGCGTTGAGACATATAGACCTGCTCAATAATTTCATGTTTTGTCATTATTTTCTGTGTTATCGAAGAATTGTCAAATTTTGCTTAGCACAAATTTTATTTATCTTTAAGGACCATTTCATGTTTAAGAAACTTCGATTGAAAAGTAAGAAACTGATGATATAAAATGCATTAGATTGTACACAATATTTCAATGTTTTAATTAATCTCAATAAACTAGGTGAAGAAGTGAAAAGATAGAAGAATTTGGCGGTTCACATTTTTCTAAGAAAACGTATTTCACCCTAGGAAGGAATAATGTCATATTAGATGATTACTGAAATTGTATATTAAATATTTGAGATGTCTCAAAATGATATAAATTAGGAAGAAGTGAGCGATTGCTTTAGATTTAAGTTAATAATAAAAGATATTTTGCATTAGTGATATAATTACGTTTAAGTAATATTTTATTTTTCAGATGTCTAACTCGATATTGTTATATTACATGTATGCAATTGAGAAAAATAAACTTATGGTTGATTTTAAGGCAGAACTAATTTAACTAATTATCATGGACATGATGGACAATTTCTTCAGAAAATGATATGCAAACTAAGTTAATTAACGATCCACATGGTTGTTTCGAGTTCGAGAGCCATAGTGTTGCGAACGTATTTGATGTTTAGCCGTCATTTTGAGCATAAATGGTATCACAAAAAGCAAATGAGCTTCTTGATTGATAGATATGTATCATGATTTTTGAATCATAACAATAAGAATCACGGAATTCAGATATCATATAGAAAATTATGATATTTTTAGTGAAAAAGTTTTTGTTGAGTTTGTGTGATAACAAATGCAAAGGCGGGGTCGCAATTGCGAAGACCCGTGTATTAAAATTAACATTTTCAGGATTTTAGTAATTTTCAATATTTTGGATCTATGGAGTCCATTGAGGCGATTTCGAAGCATATTTCTAGTAAAAATGTTGGGTATGCGATTATACCTTTTTCTATTTGATTGACAAATTGGGATTTTAGCCCTATAATTGAATAATACTTTGATGATTTAGAAATCTATCCGTTGTTCGAATTTGATGATTTTTGAGATTTAGGACGAATAACTATGAGTAAGTTGATTTTATGATGAAATTAGAATTTTGATCTCACGGTCTTAGGATTGACCTTTTGGTTCTGAAATATTAATTTAGAATATGAATATCTACATACTCATATTCTTATATATATATATATATATATTACATTTTTTATTATTCATGCAAGTTTAATTCACTTTCACCAATAAGAGTTTGTGGTGGAAACTTCATTTTTAATCAGAGATTTCGAGTTCGAGTTCGAGTTCTCCTGAGTACAAAATTTCCTTTGTTAGGGAGCGCTTTACCCTCAATGTGGGACTTCTCAACGTGAATTCAGAATTAGTCGGACTCTAATGTGGATAGCAGACATCAAGCGGAAAAAAAAACTCACTTTCATTTCTTATACCAACAATTGCATCCTATACCAAGCAACTTTTTATCCCAATCATAGACTTCCAAGTATATTTATTAAAGCTAAAGTTGGGAATTTCTAGTAATGTAGCAGCTAAGATAGGTACAAGTAGAACCTACTACATTAACAAGCCGTCGAGAATAAATCACTGAAATGTTACTTAGCTTAAATAATTTCCTCGAAAAGTTATCCTACTTATGTACTTAACATAAAATTATTAATAATACTGACAAGAATGATCGAGTTGATTGAGCAGGTGATCTTCAAAATAAAATCTTTCACTTTCACAATTGAATTTGTGATTTTTTCGTAATGATTTACCTATTAATTTCCGAATTCTCAATTTTTAATTCATTAATAACAACATGTCAACATGTTTTGCAATATCTATTTACAAAAATATGCTGATTCTTCAATTTTTTTCTCAAGGCCCAGGCCGGCAAATGGATAGAAAGATTAAACCGTAATTAGCTAGAAATTGATGGGTATTTTAGTAAATTAAACCTTTCTTTTTAGTTGTAACGTCCCTTAAAGCATATTGAAATGAAATTATTTTTGAAAAGCCAAAAAATAGCGAATGTATATTTACCTTTTATAAATAAAGTCTAAGAAGAACCAAAAGCATTTCAAATTTCAATATTCTCAGAAATCGACAAATCCGACAATGTATGAGCCTCAGCAGTTACTAGATTTGCAGGACAACAATGGCGGTTTCGGTGCCGGAGCTGACTCCAGGTCTTGGCTTTCCGGCGAGGACCGCTCTCCTACTCTCCGGCGAACTGATTCTTCTCTCTCTAATTCGGCTGCCGGAACTGTTGACCGTACCCTCTTTAATGACCTCGTCCAGATCGTCCCCCTTGTTCAATCTCTCATTGTAATCCTTTTTTTCTTTCTTTCTGGGTCTGCTTTTTTCAGTTCGGTTATCTGGTGTATTATGTTGAATTTCTAAAATTACCGAATGAGTAAAGTTTTGCTTGACCCGAGTTGTTCTTTGATCTTGAACTGGGTGTGAATTTTGAATTTTATTCATGTGATTTTTACAGGATCGAAAGGCGAAGTCTTCATTTACTAGAAGGGGATCAATGACCTACACTAAAACGCCTTCAAGGGAGTCTCTTTACAAGAAGGTAATTCCCTCTCCCACTTTCCCCTATTGGGCATATTTTTAGTCTGAAATCTAGAAATGATGATTTAATTTCAACTTGCTTGCAGTTACATTTTTAATGTTTGTATATAGATAGAAGCAACGATTAATAAACCCAAGTTCCCTGGAAACTCTTTCTATAACATTATGCTAATTAATGCTTTACCTTCCTGGAAGCATTTTTCATAGGCTATAGAAATTGCAGCCTTTTGTAGCTTGGGACTTTAGCATGTTGAATTAAATCTAAGATAACCCAAGTAAGTCCCGGTGGACTGAATTTTGACTTACCTTGGACTCCAAATTGTATGGCTTATAGGAGTACTAAGTAAAAATATTGTATGCATAACTCAATTTTCAGGTTGATCATTGCGTCATACCAGAAAAGGAAATAATACTAAGTACTTCATCCATTTTTCCGCGAATGCTTCAAATTCTATGTGAACTGTCTTTACTTTACTGACATCTTTTTAGTAGTTTCAAGGTTTAAAGTAGGATGCAGTTTTCTTTAAATGAATAAGCTGTCTAAAATATAATTTCAGTTTGGTTTAATTCTCAGACCCAGTTTTCACTTAGATCTCCTTGAACTAGTGATTGAATGTCTATTCAAATATTGTCAAGAGTACTTTTTCCAAACTATTTTCCAGCTTGACAGGAATATAGACCCAGATTTATTCTCGAACACATGGAACCTTTTGTATTATGGTGTCCTGCTTTCTCATTGTGATGGACTCCTTGACAGTCAGTCTCTGCATTCAACATAATAACTTTTATTTGGGTCCATTCTTTGTCTTTTTGTATGTCTCTGTGTAAGCAAGTGAGGTACCCGAACTTCTAGACTTGCCAGGCATGGAGTACTGTTGGATCTTAACCTATCCCAATTTTGGCTTTGTCCCTGATACTGAAGGCTAATCCCATGCTTGGATGTTCCCACTTGATGAGAAATAAGTGTTTTTGTTGGGAGGTCCCTCAAACTGAAAGAAAGATAGAGATGAAGTACTAGAGATGTTGGATATGTTACATTATTGCCACTTTGCAATCAGTGCAAAAGAATCTCTTCCTAAGTACCTCAGTCAATTGCAAACAATATAACCAGGAAACATAAATCTGATACAGTTTTTAGAAGTCATAAGATTAGTATTTTGACAAAATAATTTGTGTTCATCTGAAATCTACTTCGTCATATATCTGGACGGAGAGATCTGTTGGGAGATAGAAAACATCTCAGTCAAGCAAATCATAGAAAGTTCAATAAAGTAACCAGAAACGGAATGTTACTTATGCAATTCCTTACAATCCTTCTGAAAATTGCATTTCTCACTTTTCTTTTATATATATGCAACTGTAGCAAGTAAAACGCTGCTTCTGTCTAGCAACTAGTTTTTTTTTTATATATAACTGTAGTGTCCGAGCCAACTTGCTGGCACCTTGACTAATTCTACGAGATACCTATCACCTCCACCAGTAACAAATACTAGGTAACTCTATCCACCAAGGCTTCAACAAATGGAAAGAAATCACCTAGTATTTTTGTCTTTGGCATTTGATATGAGACCTCATAGTTCTCAACCCACTTCATTGACCCGTAAGCCACACCCTTGGGTGCTCTAGCAACTAGTATCTTTGTAAGACTAAGAAAGTAAATTATTATACAGTTGTGTAGGCTGCTTGTTTTCAGATTAAGTGTGTGAGCGTTCTTTTTTATACTAATAATGTATAGAAGTCAGTTTGTCGTTGCAGGTATTTGCCTGTACTCATCATTGGTGTTTAATCTTTCAAGTGGTTGTCTTGGAGATGCTTTAAGTCTTGTTTGTTTATTTATGCCGGATTTTTAGCTTGTCCTGACTACTACAATGGATGATTATATTGTTGGTGGTCATCCATTTTTGGGATATGAAACTAGGCTATGGTTAAAAGATGGGAAATTAGAGGCTGGAAAACAAAGTTCAAAATGCTAGTTACCACTGCAATGGCAATGTGAATGTTACCAGAGCATGGAAAAATATGAATATATACCTTGGAATATTTCACTTGCATCGCATTTGTGGATAATTACTATTTGTGTGGAACAATAATGCCAGGCATCCTTCAGATTCATACACGCCAGCACAAATCAAATTTGCAGTCTAAACAAACTAAAGTAGAGTTTGCATCTAAAGGATTTAATATCTTACTCTATAAATGCCTTTGATGTACCTTTTCCCTTCTCCAGCTCCATTTCTTCTCACAGGTTAGTAGGTCAAGCCATCCCCATCAACTTGCTACAATAAATAAGAAGTCAGCTTTGTTTCAGCTGAAATTGATCAAATATGATACTCCTATAGGCATTGCAGTTGGATTTGTTGTGTATGTGAATTAACTTCTCATTGCTTGCATATTCTTCTTTGTAAGGTTGTTATGCAAAGCAAGTTTGCTTGCTTATCTCTTGATTGCATGTAAACTAGCATTGGTTTGTTTTGATCCATTACATATGCTAACGTTGACAACTGCTGCAGACTTCTGAAGCAAAAGGAAGAAATGCAGCTCAATCAACAAAAAAGCATAGGGACCAAAATAAAAATGTTGGTGGTGACCAAGATGGATGCTCTGATAACATTTCAATGCCTTCCTCAAGATCATATTTGTCAGAAAAAGATAGAGAAGAATTGATGGCTTTGAGGGGGCAAGTGGAGGATTTGCAAAAGAAATTATCGGAGAAAGATGAACTTTTGAAGGAAGTTGAGATCTCAAAGAATGAAATGGCTTCTATTTATGTTAGACTAGATGAAATGAAGAAGGAATATGCAGAAAAGGACTCTTTACTCAAATTGACTCAAGCGCAACTATCAGATGCAAAGGTAATATTTAATGTCATCCTGCACCCTCTCCAACCCCAACCACAAAATAGAAAAGCGGAAGATGCAGGTTTTTCTAGAAAGCCATTGTGTGGCTTCAGTTAAATGTCTCTCAGTTACTCTTTAGCCAATTAGCTCAACTTTGGTCCTGTGTTAGACAGACTAAGAAAATGGAGATTAAATATCCGTAATTTTCTGTTTAGTATCGAAGCAGATGCCAACTAGAAGTTTCAAGCAATGCTTTATGGTTAACTTTCCTGACGTGTTCACTTTCACATTACTGCACCTTTAGACTGACTCCTACTAGATTGTGCTCAGATTTTCCGTGATGTTGTCCATCATCTCCATAATTTGATGGGTGAACCCCCACTCGTTGTCTTCCTTTTTGCTCTTCTTAGGTTAAGCTAGCTGACAAGCAAGCAGCTGTGGAGAAGTTAGAATGGGAAGCTATGACTTCCAGCAAGAAAGTGGAGAAACTACAGGATGATTTAGATGTGGTGCGGCAAGAAATCGCATGGTTCATGCAGTTTGTTCAACAATTGACAAAGAATGGTTCTAGGACTTTAGCTGAAGATTATGATGTTATCCCTTACTTATGCAACAAGAACATTGAAAACGTAAGCTAACAATTACCTTCACCTGGTTTCTTGAATGTTATACTAACATTGTTATATATCTAATTATTATGTACATATCTTGCCCAATTTCTGGGTAGGTCAATGCTATTAAGGACTTGATATATTTGTCTTTTCAGCTTCTTATGTTGCATTGTAATTCTCAGATTTGTTTTGTACAGGATCAGCCAAATGAAATTGGAATGGAGGAAGTAGATTTGGCAAGAGAAGCTTATATTGCAGCAATTGCTGCTGCTAAAGAAAATCAAGATGAAGCATCTTTTTCCGAAGCTGCCAAAGCAAGATTATATCTGCAGTCACTTGTTATAAGAACATAACATGGATTCTAATTGGGAAATTGTCTGCTATAGTTTGTATTATTACTATGCAAATGATGTTGTTCAAATAATTAACGGTGACAGTAAATTTCTTAAGTATAATTAGTTAGTAATGTGCTGTATTCTGAACAGTGTTATTGAATGCCACTTTTTTTCTTTTTATAGTTGACCTTCCCATTTCTATATTGGTGTATGCATTTCAGTCCTCTTTCTCGTTACTCAATTTTGTTGTTGCTGGAAATACGTAAAACATACTAAACAAGGAAAAAAATGTTGATCAATGAAAGAACGATCTATATAAATATTCTTAAAGAGTTCGATGAATCCAGTAAGAACATGTCCTATGGGGAAAAGGGGGAGAACAAGATGTCAAAATTTGCAACAGTGATGACGCACACTACACCAAGCCATATGCTTCCCAAAACGCGAGCCTCCTTCTTCTTCGTCATCGTCTTCATCATCTTCTTCAGGTTTTGGCATTTGAGCTGGACTGCCCATCAATTCCCAGCCCAACCTGCAATTTTAGTGAAATACAGTTACTTATTCTGCTAAAATTAATCAAAAGTACATTGATACTTGTTAAACAAGAGAGTATCAGAATTTTGAAGAAATGGCTATACTTACACAGGGAAGGCAAAGGAACCCGTGCTACCAGTGGAGTAATTAGAATCACTTGATTCCGCAGATGGAGTTGTTTTGCCATCACTAACCTCACCTATGTGACTTATCTCCTTAACAACAGCCGGTGGCCATTCATCTTCCATATCATCGATTCCTTTTCCCCCGTCCTGCCAATCACATGTAACAATTTCTGAATTCTAAAAGGTGGAGTAGAGGATAAGTGAGAATATTGTTGATCAAAAAGCGTCAAATACGTAGACAGTCCCTCAAATTGTCACAACTAAACACCTAATGTATGCTCCAAAATGTGCATTCAGATTGGACTTACCTTATCGTCTATAACGGGGATCTGTTCTTCAGCTGATTCAAAGCTATTTTCTCCATCGACACTGATCGTGTCGTTTTTACTCTGAGGAAGGAACTCTGGTGCATTCTCTATATATTTAAGCTGTTTTTCAACAATCCAACAAAAAATATTTTGATCACATTGAGAGTATTAATATATTTACACACAGGAAATTACGCGAAAAAAGGTGAATTGAAGAAGATTCATTACCTTCCTACAAGCAGATTTTGAAGTAACGTTAGCATGATCAATTTTCTGGTGAAATACCTCGGATTTTCTATCTTCCACTATATGTATTCCTCCATCGTCTTCAAAGCAAAACACTATATAATCTTCTTCTGAGAATCGAGGCCAGTTCGAGTCATTTTCTCCCTCCTTTTCACCTTTCTCTGCTGAAACTTTCACTATTTCCTTTTTCCTCTGTTCCATTTTCTTATTCAACTTCTTCTTTCTATTCTTCCTGCTATTATCACCAATCGGATCGAAAACCATTTTCCTACTCGGTTTCTGAGGCGTCATTACGCAAAACTTATTCGATTCTTCCTCTACAAATGTACTAATAGATCAATTATTATAGTACTAACAGAAGAAAAAAACTAGTGCAGAGCATAAGAAATAAAATTACCTAAAGGGAACCTGCAAGCATAGAAACAAGATACCCAATCTCTAATTCGCCATCTAACAAGCTTGGTTACTGTGTATGGACTGCTCATTCTTATTCAATTAACAAATAAGGGAAGTTTGATTTATTTATTTTCCTTGGAGTGAGCAAAAAGGAGAATGTTAAGGAGAGGGAGTTATGGGATTTTTTGAATTTGAAAAGAAGAATTAAAGGAGGAAGAGATGGAAGCATGAGAATTACAGTTGTATATACAACTACTAGTATCCCATAATAATGACGGTTATAATTTCTTATAACATGCTATTATTGAGAGTAAAATGTGGAGATATATATGGCAACTTCTCAACACTCACTTTTAATGTTATGATTATTTTTAATATAATCCAAATACGAAAAGAAAATGTTGTGCTTTTAATGCTACACGTGCTGTCGTTTTAGGATCACCATATTCTCGTGAAGGTGTTGAGTTTCACTTCTTTCAAAAGTTTAAACCATGTATGTGCTTATATTTTTCTTTTTCATGAAGTTCATTGCTAAATTTATAAAATTTTATTTTTGGTCATAATGTGTAAATTGTATATGCATGGAAGACTGTAAAGTCTACTTTGTAAACAATTTATTCATACCGGAAGTATATATAATTTACACCAAATTATTTTTATTTGAATTTTTTCGCGAATGTAATAATTTCTATTTTATATGACCATATATTTATCTTAACGTTCAGATTTTTGTACATTTATCTTGTAGATATATTAAACTTTAGCGGCTCAATATTCATTTTGTGTATCATTATTAATCTTATAATTGTTCCGCATAATTTACGTAGATTTTATAGTCATTCTTTTGTAGCATATCACCCTTATAACTAGGGGTGTGCAAAAATCAAACCGAAAAAAGTGTTATTGTTTATTATTATTGAGTTATTGGATTAACCGATAACCCATTAAGAATATAATAATTCACTATTTTAATTTTTAATCACACATAAATATCAAACAAAAAATATTAATATAATCATTATATTAGACTATAGCTTAAGACCCTACACAATTAACACTACTTAACTTTGATCTCTGCATTTACCCTTTAGGTTTTAGTATTACTTTAATTAGTCTTTAGATTCACAACGTCAAAACCTAAAGAGCTAAGAACGGTGGCGGCTAGGGTTTGCAACGACGATGACAAGGGTTATGCAATGACTAGGGCTGTGAATTGTGAGTATTTGCTATACTATTACTACATTAAGCAGAACATTTGCACTCAATGAGTTATTTGATTTCTCTCTTTTTTATTTCGCGTCAAATTGTTGGACAAGTCATATATTAGTTTTGCAAACATTTTCTTATTGGTTAAACCGAAAACAGAACTGTTAAACACCAAAAATCGATAGCATATTTAAAAACCGAAAACTGATAAATCAAACCGATAATACTTAAAACTGAACTGAACCGACCGATACACAACCCTACTTATAACAGTTCTCCGTTTACCCGCGAGGGCATGATTAAGTGATTGGGAGGTGGCTCTCCCATGTGGGAGACCTGAAATCGAATTTGACCTCTGTGTGCTACTTACCCAAGAGTTAGGTGTATAGGGTTTATTTAATGTGATTTACATTTTTTTGTATGATGTGTGAGTTATTGCATGATGAGTAATTATCACTAATTGCTAATCCAAAGCTCAAAGGGTAGAGACGGTGACAGATGTTGTAGGATGCTTTGAGATTTCCAAAAAATTAAAATAATTCTCCATTAATTAGGGTGTGTTTTGTACGGATGAAAATATTTTTTAAATTATTTCATGTTTGGTAAAAAAAAATAAAAAAAAATTTCTTTCTAGAAAAATCAGTTTCATACAATAACATTTGAAGTTCATTATCCTCTCTACGCCATCAACACCCACCCCTTGATCTTTACATACCTCTCTCCCTTCATATTCAATCTATATCTGTAATGTTTTTGCTAGATTACATATAAATATTATTGTGATAATATTTTTTATTATTTACTTACAAATATCAGAAAATAAATAAGAAATCCACTTATTTCTCAAAAGAATATTTCTAAAAAAATATTTTCCTTTGTACCAAACATTCCCTTTAATTCATTAAATTTGATTTTTATAAACAACATCTTCCATCTACTCTTATAGTTCTGGAAATAATGAGATCACGTGCATAGGCCGGGACTTGCACGTGAGCAGCAATTCCCCGCCAACATTAGGTTTTCTGCTCCGACTTATAAATCCAACGAGAACCACCGGAGTATGGAAGAATCAGAGACGAGTATGGAAGTGCGTAGCTTAACGGGTGAATCCATAGTTGTCTCCATTTTGCCGAACAAAACCATTCAAGAACTCAAGCAACTCCTCAAGAAAACATTCCCACCGGCTTCAATTTCCCCAAATTTCCATCTCTTTCACAAGGCAATTTCTTACTCCTCTTCATCTCTTTCATTTATTCTACAAATTTTACGAATCTTGCGTTGCTACTTGATGATTTCTGTCAACAATGATGTAGGCGTGTTTTACTACTATTTTTTTTCTTGAAAGTTAGGTTATACCCCACATAATAACAGGCACTTGTTCTTGAAACCTTGTCTCGTTTGTTTTTCTAGTTTCATATTCATATTGAGGTATTTTCTTGAATCAGGGTGTCAAATTGAGTTTAGAGAGTAAGATGAATGACCATTCAGTTGGGTGTGGGGAATTTCTTGTACTTGTTCCCTATACAAAGAAAGACAGAAACAGAACAAGAAAACTGAGATACCTGCAACTTCATCTATCCCAGTTGATGATTTCTGTCAACTATGATGTAGGCGTGTTTTTGTATTTGTTTTCTTGAAAGTTGGGTTATACCCCACACACAACAGGCACTCTTTCTTGAAACCTTGTTTTGTTTGTTTTTCTCGTTTCATATTCATATTTTGTGGTATTTTCTTAAATCAGGGTGTCAAATTGGGTTTAGAGAGTAGGATAAGTGACCATTCAGTTGGGAGTGGGGAATTTCTAGTACTTGTTCCCTATACAAAGAAAGACAGAAACAGAACAAGAAAACTGAGATACCTGCAACTTCATCTATCCCAGTTGATGATTTCTGTCAACTATGATGTAGGCGTGTTTTCGTATTTTGTTTTCTTGAAAGTTATGGTATACCCCCACACAACAGACACTCTTTCTTGAAACCTTGCCTCATTTGTTTTTCTCCTTTCATATTCATATTTTGTGCTATTTTCTTGAATCAGGGTGTCAAATTAGGTTTAGAGAGTAAGATATGTGACCATTCAGTTGGGAGTGGGGAATTTCTTGTACTTGTTCCCTATACAAAGAAAGACAGAAACAGAACAAGAAAACTGAGATACCTGCAACTTCATCTATCCCAGTTGATGATTTCTGTCAACTATGATGTAGGCGTGTTTTTGTATTTGTTTTCTTGAAAGTTGGGTTATACCCCACACACAACAGGCACTCTTTCTTGAAACCTTGTTTTGTTTGTTTTTCTCGTTTCATATTCATATTTTGTGGTATTTTCTTAAATCAGGGTGTCAAATTGGGTTTAGAGAGTAGGATAAGTGACCATTCAGTTGGGAGTGGGGAATTTCTTGTACTTGTTCCCTATACAAAGAAAGACAGACAACAGAACAAGAAAACTGAGACACCTGCAAGTTCATCTGTCCCAGTTGGTGGCTCAACTCTGAAAGAAGCTGAGACAGCATGGTCTGATATGATGGAAGACTTGTCTTACTTGAGCAGCATATCTAGGAATGAAAATCAGAACAAAGTTCTTTTGGATGAAACACGTTATAGAGATTCAGATGGACACAATTGCAGTGTTCCGATGAATTGTTCTTCACAGGTTAAGCGCAAGAGAAGCATCAAGGATGATAAGATGGAAGGACATGCAGATGAGCTAGTCCTTAGCATACTAAAATCATCTTCCAATGACATGGATGACGAGAAAGCTAAGATATTTGTTCAGGTTTTAGCGTCTATAAATTGTTTTACCGACCCGGATTCAGGCAACTGTATGTGGGAGGAAGCCAACAGAAACGACAACGTATCTGATCCATGTTCTAGTGGTAGTGATTCGTGTGGGTGTCCGACGTGGTTGAGGAGAATAAGCAATATATTTTCCTTTTTAAGCATCTATTCAGCTTCCTTACAACTTCAACAGGGACAAGTTACCTACTCCAGTCTGAAGGGAGCACTCGATCGTCTCTGTCTGTTTGGATTTCGAGCTGGTGTCACAGACATCGAGCAACTTTCCCTATTTTGTCCTAAGGTACTGTGTTGAACTTCTGGCTAGTTTAACAGTTTTCATCCCCTACCTACTTTGATAAATTTCAACATTTTTATCGATTAGTTTCACATACTCTTGTCACACTCTGACTTTTGAGCTGTGGCGTCACTCATTCATTTTTGACAACGGATAAATGTTGGAGGGCCTTGCAGAAGTGCCTCTGGATGATCACAAGTATGTCACAGGGAGCTTACAACTCGAAAGGAAGTACTGTAATAATAAAGTCTGAATAGTTACTCAAGTTGAACTTATGAACTTAGGAGGACTACCATAGTCTACAGAGTTCTGTTTACTCTTTCCAGAGTAGGGGTTTCTCTTTCTGGAGAACACCAGTGGTGCTAAAAGATATCTCACTTACCCTACTTGCATATTTTGTTTTAGTGAATGCACGATTTGATCTCAGTATCCTTTCTAGGAATTTACAAGATCTTATATTCTTAATTTCGCTTATGCTTCTAATCATTTATCCCATTCAGTTCTCTTTATGTATCACCATATCCAAATGGATTTTGAGGGGTGTCAGGTTGTCATTTCCCCCCACTATCTTTTGAAGTTATATTCTTTCCCTTCTAAATTTGCTAAATATGTTGATATATCAGTTAGAAATGGCTTTGTCGTCCCCCTTCTCGCTACCGCAATTCAACTTTGATGTCTGACTAGACCACTTATCATGACTATGAATTTTTTTTTTCAAGCACTTGTGCCTTATTTTCTTTTAGGTTGTACACATTGTTGATGATGATACCGTGGTTAAAAATTTCAAGGATGGTATTAATATTTTCAGAAACTCAACAACAAAGGATGAACAGAGTGCAAGTATGTTTTTCAGTTTCAAAAAAGAGTGTAGTATGTTTAGTTCATGTTTAGCTCTTTGATTTAGGAAAATGGCTGCTTGAGCACTGAATAAGTCTATTTTTCTCCTTTTCTGCTGAGTAGCTAAAAAAGGTGTAACCATATCAAATGTTCTCCGCTCAATGAAGAAAAGGGAGTATGCATTCCGAACAAGTCTTTTGAAGTTAGTCAAGTTGTTAAAGGTATGCCATTTCTCACCTTGTCTAGGCATCCTCAAATTTTTTAATTTGAAAGTTGACTTTGGTGTTGTGCAGTATCCAAATGTTTGGAAATTCAAGCACTTAAGATGCAGAATCGCAGTCGTGAAACATTTTTCTTTATGCCTATGTGTTATCATGACATGCATGTTTTATGCTGTGTTGAGTATTTATCTTGCAAGTCCAACTACATTTTCCTGTTTATGGATGTGTTGGCATATCTAACTTGGTGTTTCAGACTACAGGACTCTTGTCTGATGACTTCATGACCAATTTAAAAGATGGGGTTTTCATCCTGTTCTTTCTTACTGTATGCAAATGTTTACTAGAGTCAATTTTTGGCTGAACTTTATTTAATTTGTGTTTAAGCTAAAAGTCCTTCACTAGTGTATTAAGTTGCAGCTACCTTTCAAAGAAAGGAACTTCTGAAGAAATATAATGTCTAGCAAGTAAAATTGTTTGGCACTTGTGATCTCAAAATTTTTTCTATTGGAAATTACTTAGGTATTATATGGTGGGTTATATTCTGAAGTTCTGGGTTTAGCTTAATTTTTATCGTCTGGAAGGTAGATGAATTAATTGTCACAAACATAAGAATCTCTTTATAATGCTGCAAATCTTACTGCTGCTTTTTCTTAAATAAAATATCAGTGGTGTCTAGCATCTCGATTAATCAACCAGGTAGCATGTCTGACCGACAAGCACAAGTTAGGTAATCATGCACCAGAGCGCTTGGGCTCAAGCAAGTGTTTATTTGTATTTATTTTCTATTAAGTTGTTGATCCTTTTATATCCATTGTTCATTTTGATTGTTCAATGTTATGAGGTCCTTCATAGTTTGACTGTTTTAGCCACTGTTTTATCCGGGCACGGAACCTGCTGGTCTTTCACATAAGCAGAGTTGAATGATATTGACCCATCTCATTGTGACAGTTTTTGTATGATTTAAATTAGTAAATTACTAATTTTGTAATGCAGTGTCAAAATGGAAATGAGTTCTCTAAAATTTCCCTGGAAGATTTCATTACCTTTGTGAAGCAAGGTGGTATTGGTGCTACAGGCATTGACACGAAACGAGCAGGTTCTCATGCCTTTGAAGCAAACTGTTGTGTAAGTCTTAAAACCGTGCATTAAGCCTTTTGTAATTGATGCTCTCTTAATCCATCATAACGTGCTACTTCTATGCAAATCTTTTTTATTTTTTTGGATACATTTGCAGTTGTGAGAGTCTCTAGTTCACAACTTTCTCTGCATTTGATTTTTTACTTTGTAATTCTTCTTCACTAGAAGTGCTTGCATGAACACTACAAATAACTTTATCTTTGTTTCTTCAGAGGTCAATCAAGCTTATCAAGGAATTGGTCATTGTTAATATAGGCACATAAATGATGGGAACTTAGCAGAATGCATCTGCTCTTTTGTTCTAAATATTTGTCACCTTTTAAGATGCTAGCGATAGATATCTTCTCTTGCTAGAACAAATTCCAATTGGATATTTTAGTGACTGATATTTCTAGAAAGGGGAATTTTCAATGAAGTGGGTAGGTGAAGGCTATAAAAAGGAACACTTGTAGTTGCCTGTTTCAGTGGTATAGCTAATAGCAGTGTCTTGAATGACCTTTTATCAGTGCAAGATTCCCTTGGTTATTGTGGTCCTTTTTTTAATAGATGACAAAGAATTGTAAATGATTTAAGTTTAAGACCTGAGAAGTTCTGCAATTTTGATAAGCTTTTGGCATGCAGGATACAAATCCTATGACACCTTTGGAAATGGTGGAACATCTGAGAAAGGGGATTGGATCTGATGGACAGGTTTTTACCTTGTTGCATTTTCTCTTTCACATTATTCTTCTCCCCCTCTTGGCAACTACATATATTCCATTCCCTTTTCTTATGGATGAGTTATCCCAAGAGAGCGATTCATTGCGATGCTGTCGGATAAAGTGGAAGCCCTCACTTCAGTGGACATGAACTTCAATTGTGAATGACTTCAATTTAGCTACTGTACGGCCAATTATTGCTGTAAGAGCTAACCCACGGTTATCCACCATTATTTCTGTTCCTGGTGCAGGTTGTTCATATTGAAAATATCACTGCCCGCAATGCCACCTATGTTGAGATCCCAAGTGCACTTTCAGAAAGCACAGTATTGGCATTGAAAAATATTGGAATTACCAGATTATACAGCCATCAGGTAATATGCTGGTCTATCTAATATAGTTTCCCTTTAAACAAAACTTTTATCCAAAACTCTCTAAGCATTATAAATCTGCAGGCTGAGTCTATCCAGGCTTCTCTTGCGGGAAAACATGTTGTTGTAGCTACCTTGACATCCAGTGGGAAATCTCTTTGCTACAATGTGCCAGTTCTGGAAGTATTATCCCAGAATTTGTCAGCATGTGCTCTATACCTCTTTCCTACAAAGGTTCTTTGCTTTATACTTTCCAAGCTTAATTGTTGAACATTCAGCCTTTGGGAATGCTAGTCTCACAGAAGTCTTTTGCCTTTATATATTCTGCATATGTTTGTTGGATAGGCTTTGCATCTGCTAAGAAATGCCTCATTCCATTGTAGTCATTAGCACCACTGCGGCAGCTTCTACATTGTTTGCGTTGTCAATGCAGGCTTTGGCACAAGATCAACTAAGGTCTTTATTAAACATGACCAACGAGTTTAGTGCTGACCTCAGAATTGGTGTATATGATGGGGACACTTCTCAGATGGATAGGAAGTGGCTGCGTGATAATGCTAGACTGGTATTCAGTAAGTTTTGATGTTTAGATAGGTTGAGATTTTTGTTCTGGTCCTTTCCTATGTTTGTCTATTTCCTATCTCTCCTTTCCCTTTTCTTATGCAAGTACTGCAATTTCATCTGTTTTTTTCAGTTGAT